CCAGGTTGACAAGTCGAGGGTTGCTATTTTTGTCTAGAAGGTCAACCATGTCGTCCCTTATGGCTTCCTCAACATGGGAGGAGATGCCTAATCCAATCCGAATCCGCAAGCCGGGGTGGGACACCACAACAAGGGAAATCACTACCATCTGTCAGGATTAAGAACTGACTGTGAACAACCCGGTTTCAAAGTTGGGAAACCAAATTAGGACCCACGCCCCCAGGAGAGGTGCGATTAAACCCCGCGAAAACAAATTCAAACCACAATGTTACTCGTCGTTCCTTGAAGGATGCATTGGCAACCACACGTATCCCTTAAGGGGCCCTGCTAAAAAAAACACGTTTGAACCAGCGCGCGCGACTAGGTTTCCAACATGACCAACATGCGATCCCTTAGGAAGGGCGATCCCAGTTCTTCGACCAGGTAGAACAAGAGTTGGAACCCTTTTTTGGGGGCTCGTGTTGGTATGGGTCTTATTAAACCAGGAATCGGACCGGCTTGGCTCATGTTTCCACAGGGCAACCCATTTTGGGGTTACCCTATTTTCGACCCACAGCCGTTGTAGGGGAAACACTCCAAAGAGCGGGGGCCAACATCCCGGTCCACCGGTTGAATGCTGAGTGGCAGCTGCTCCTCACTCCTCGTCACGCCGGAAGCGATGGACTTCCGGGCCTGCAGCGCCAGGTGGGGCTCTATTTGGGGTTGGTTTGAGAAACAAAGGAGGTTGCTTGATTGGTTGGTAGGTTGGCTTGTACTATTTTGGGGGTCCCCTATTTCAAGACACACCCACACACCCATGTAAAGAATCAAAAAGGGGGATATCCACACCCATGGCTGGGACTATCCCATCATCTACCGAGGCTTGATCTTGGCTGTCAGATCGTCATTGATTTCGCCTACCCAGAAGAAGCATGATTGATGGAGAGCTATGGATTCCAAATGGCCGGGTTGGACCAACCAAACAGTTTTCCCTACCTCCACACAAACCTACAGTTCGCACGATTTAGTCAGATTTGGCACCCACAAATGGTGGCAACAAGCAAACCAAACTGCCTCGGAAAAAGGTTGGTTTGGTGTTAACCAACCATGTCGTGACAAGTCCCAAAGATTTGTCATGCTCGAGGTGTTCGGTAAGGATACCTGGGAACATGTCGACCAAGAAGCAGGGGACTAGTTCAATACCAACATGCAAAACCGAATGGCCCGCTTTCGCGAAACTTAGAACGGCCCAATTTCTCTGACCACGCCCAGGAAAACAAACACAAACTCCACAAGTTTGAGAGGGTCCATGCAAAACAACCGCTTGATTCTTGGGCTTCGCCCGCTTTCGCCCGTTGCCTCCGTGCCGACATTACGGAGCTTCAGGGCTCTGTCTGAAGTCCACCGCGCAAATTTGCCGAAGCAACATGGCCGTGGGGCAAAAACAGGGTAACTCCGACATGGGTTGCCCTGGTAAGTGGAAACATGGACCAAAACCTGCGGTCCGATTCCTGGTGGTTTAATTTTGACCCTTCGCTGTTCGGACTCGGAATCGTGTGTGAGATATCCAAAACTGGATCCCCGGCCACAGGTTTGTGTGAAGGGAACTGGGCTCCCAACAAGAAACGCCTTAAACACCCCTGGAGGAAGGGGACCTAGAAGGTTTTGTTTGGAGCCAATCTTTGAGAGACATACAGAACCCTGAGCTGTGGGGGGTTTTCCCGGCTCCTGGCTCCGGCAAGCCTCCTTCCCCTTGTCACTCGTCAGAAAAAATATCGCGAGTGAGTTCCCATGCAACACATGGGTGTGGCTCAAAATTAAACAGGAGGGGCAAACCGCAGGTATTGAAGTCCAGGGCAAGCCATTTTGGTGGCTTTTTGAGCCACAGCCACATCAACATATTCAAGGATGCCACTGCCATCAGTACAGTTTTGCTTTCCAGTCCTTGGCATGTGGGCAACAAAAACTTTGCCCTTGCACCCACCCACTCAAACTGAACAGAAAAGAAAACCAAAAATAGCATACAAGAGACAACACATCTGACCGTTGGAAGCTGGGGCTTCGCGCCAACTTCATGCGCTCCAGCACTTGCTTTTCCATGTCCTGGCATGCTAAGGCTATGTGCTGACAGATGCACTCAGTTGGAGATGATCGAGTTTCCCAGGTCGACAAGTCGGGAGTGTTGAAGGTGGTGACCTCTCAGACTTTAACCCCAATAGTCCCACCTGGAGTCTCCATGACCCTTTAAAATAGGGCAATGACCCGACTATTTTGGGTAACGACCCCATTTTGTAAGGGTCATTGAGACTCCAGGCATACTAGAATTCACCGACCACGCAGGGCTCGGCCACTGACTGCTGGGCCCGTGGAACACGCCCCGGCTTCCCTCTCCGATGGGCTTTGGATGCGAGTCTCGGTACATTGGCCTCGACGAGATGTGCTCCGGTCACTCAAATGCAGCATGATGTTGGTGGTTGCCTTGCAGTCTAAACAAGTATTGCGCCCTTTTTCTGGTCTCCACTCATGACAGCCAACTGGTCGAGCTCCGAATGCCTGCAGTTTATGAACGTCCTAGGCATTCCCAGGAATGTGCGCCGTTAAGGCCCTGGGAAACTTCCTATCTCTTGGTATGCCAGACATTTAACTCAGCTAGTCTGAGGTGGTGGTTTGGTTTTGCGTTCAAGAGGCGCTGGGGACACCTGACTTACAGCCCGCCTGGGACCAAAACCTCAAACTACAACCCGCCCACTTCCAGTGAAACCTCTTGCCTCTGGAGGACCGTCACATACCAAACCCAACCAAAAAATATATATCAAAAGCTGATGCCCACGGTGAGGGAAAACCCCATTCCTCCCAGCCCTCGGCTCTTTTCCGCCCGCCAGGTG